ACCATAGAACTCAGTTAATATGAAGCTGATGTTAAACACAACGGTGATATGCGGAGAGTAAAATAAAATTAAGTCGACAATCCACTAAGAACGGTATCCGTCAAAGGTGCAATGGGCGCTGTTTTGTTACAAAAATTATGTGTTACGATGCTTTATGATCGGCAAACAGCTAGTATGAGAGAGAAACGAGATATTAGAGAGGTGATGTATTAAAAAAATTGAGATATTACAATTAATGAGTATTAATTACATTATTCTGATCATCTTGGGCCTTTGGCTTTTTGCCGGGAGGCGAGCTCGTGCTAGGGGACTTCTGAAACACGTACGTGCATTCCCATATGAATCATTCTGTGCCAATGGAGTCCTCCGACTTGCTTTTACAAATTCAGTCCGCTCTCTTTTCTTCTAATTTTCACCGTTAATTCTACCTTACTTTTCTTTTTTTTTGTCCAAGCACACTTTTCGACGTCAGACGAAACGCATACGTGCACAATTACATTTGATCGCCCGAGACGCGGAATAGGATTCTTTGCACACGAATATAAGAAACATACACATAATTGAGAGACCTATAGATTTCGAAATATCAGATCACCTCTTTGTTAGTCAAAAACGACGGAAGTACATCGTAAGAATATAGTAGACAATTTGTTCACATAGGAATTGTACCATTCATCATATATATACGTCATGCCTTAAATCTTCTAAATAATGTTCTTTATAGATCAATCTTTTGCTCCGACTTTTTGATAAAAATGTATAAGATACATGGAAGGTATAAAATAATTTATATGCTCTATCGGTATAAGAATAATTTACATTACAGACAGTTCAATACTCTTTATCACAATACGTCTTACCTCAACGAATGAGGCTCGCTTTGAGGTCGAGGTCGGTGCTGGGATCAACGACTCGCCGCCGTCTCTACGCTCGTGCGATGAGCCAGTTAGGCTTTCTGTACTTGGGGCACTTAACAACGTTCTACTGCCAGACAAGGATAATCGAGAACTGTAAGAAAAATAACACGAAATGGTTAATGATATTTTGCAACTTGCATTTCTTATACACGCTGCTAAGCTGACCATTGATCAACCGCGATGGAAACTTCCAACTTATTATATCGAAATAAAGATAAAGAAATGAAGAAATAATACGTGGTCGTAGAATATTGTACTTAATATTCGTGTAATCGTATGTCTGTAACGTGGTTTTGCGTGTGGTACATTATAGAAAAGAATATATTAAAAATGAAAATGTATTCTCACAGAAATGCAAACTTAAATTAAAGGGACAACGAAAGTTCAATAGCTTGTAATATTTAGCAATACAACATTTGTGTCACAATAATGAGCAACAAACGGAAACGATAGCTAATTTATTAACCAAAAATAAGTATAAGCTCCACAACAGGCGTGTTGGCGACTTGTTTTGTGCTTTAAAGCTGAATACTTTGGACGTTCGGTGATGATTTCGACAGAGCCGGTAATCAGGAGACAATTGCGACATTTAAAATGTCTATGTAAAGCACAGTAGCGATAAAAAAAAAATACACATTGCTGACACCGTTCGCCAAAATTTAGCTTGCAGTAATCTTACCCAGATAGTTTGTCAGATTGCTGGCGAATAACATTCGCAGGAGATGTTTTTCTCCGTACACTTTTACGAGCAGCATATACATGTTAAGAATTATTAATCACATACTCGCCTCTTCGTTTACTTATATGAAAAATGTTACAAGTTCTCGGAAAGGAAAATAATAACGATCGTCACACTCCTCTTTCTGTTATTACAAAGTGGGAAACTTACGCTGTAGGCTCGTTCCTCCGACGCATACTAATGCTAGCATGAAAATTGTGAAAAGAAATAATTTCAAACGTTCTCTCTCCCTCTCTCTTTCGAATTTATGAATTACATTCGGCTCAGTTCAATAGCGAATGTTTTTGACACAGACAAATTCTGATCTGCCCAACCGTTTGATTCTAATATTTTCCATTTCGGATAACGATAGTACTTGATGATGCTACTTTAAAAATATATCAAAATAGTATATTACTCTATCTACAGCATTTTAACTGTGAGACTAGTATACAGGGTGTCCACATTTTAAATGATCCACGCAAATATCTTCAAAGATATGAAAGATATGGGAAAACGTTTCAAACAAAAGTTGTTTGGTTCGAAGGGGGACATTTAAAGTGAGACACCCTGTACGCAATCTGTTACTTACAGTATGCATTTACAGTTTACTGCATTTATTGCTTGAGAATTACGTTTTTCATAAGGATCCTATAGCGAGTTCGGTTGCTTGCACTGAGTGTACGCACCGAGTGCACGCTAAGGCTCGTTTACAGTCAAGTCTTATATTTAAGGATCGTTTTAAATACCTCGTGAAATATTTTTAGCCAGTGAAATGATCCGTGTAGCATCCGTATGGATGCTACACGGATCATTGTTTGGCTAAAATACTCTTTGAACACGTATTTAAGACAAGTTAAATGTAAGAAGAGGCCATGAACAAGCCTCAGTGTGCACCCGGTGCGCACTAAAGCCCGTACCGGACTACGGACTGAGATTGAGATTAGATTGAAATTTGACCGATTAGAGTAAGAGTCGCTGAACTTGAAATTGGCAAACTTTACTCCGACTGGTCAAATTTCAGTCTAATGTCAATCTCAATCCGTAGTCCGATACGGGCTTAATGCAAGCAACCGAATTCGCTGTTAAATCTAGCCGAGATTCTCTTAATCCGACGTCTGGATCCGAGGGCTCACCTATTTAACCGACTCCTGGCTCTGGCGGCGCTGTCATCCGGCGTCGTGGCATTGCTGCCTGCGGACGACGGGCTGACAGGCTCGGTCCTGTTACCAGCATCGTCCAGCAGAATAAGTTGCGTCTGGCGCGCAAACATGCCATGATTCTCCGCGCACTGTAGCGACAGAAATGAACAACAATGAGACGTGTATTTTCTACGCTGAATGAGTTAAACTACTCCAAACGGCAAAAGTAGACTTGTACTTGTTTACAAATGTTATCTAACCATTGCGGATCATACGGTCGCACCGCGCGCGACACCGAACCGATACATTTTCCCCGACCTTACGAGATTTCGCGTTGCTCGGTAAAAACAAAACTTGGAAGAATAGTCATCGATCGCGCACGGTAAACCTGGACTAAACCAAGAGACGACTCGGCGATTAATTCAGCGACTAAATACCTGTACCATTTCAATAACACGATTGAGGACAACGAACCGTGCAATTTTGAAATGTTACAGCTCTGCCAGTTAAATCAACCGCTGGTCTAATCGAGGTCGGCCTCATTCCTACCGCTGGGTCAACTTGAAACTCTGCGGACCAGGGGTCCAGCTTGCCTTTTGTCTCTTTCCGAAATAAGAAAAGCGAGAAAGGCAAGTCGAACCGAAGTCAAAGCTACTCCAGGCCGCGCCGCGGCGACTCTAATGCGTGGTCTACAATACGTGGAGTAAGCGTGGAGTAAGGCTGGTATTACATTTGTCGTACGACAAAGTTTTTAAGCGTATTGATTGGCTGAAGGATAGTAAAATTCTCGAGTATCTAGAAACTTTCTATTCAGCGGCCAATCGACACGCTTGAAAAATTTGTCGTACGACAAATGTAATAGTACCCTAAGGAGTAAGGGAGAGCCCTAACTTCTAGCTTTTGGTGTAAGGAAGCTGAAATACGGGCATGATTTTTAAAATAATTGTAACACTGATTGATGGCATTTTGATTCACCGGGAGTAAGCCTAAGAGCTGAAGTAGTAGTAAGAAATAAAATGGATTTATTTCCTTACTCCTACTCCTTACTCCAGCTTACTCCATGTATTGTAGACAGCCTTAAAACACTGGACGTCCCTCTCCGCTGGTTCACCTTGAAGTACGCCTGGCCCTTGACGCTGCCGTTGTTCTTGCCCTTCGGCTCGTCGAGTATCACGCCGATCCACTTGCCCGACGCGAACGCCGGGTGGCCGACGTAGGCGATGACGCCATGGCACTCCTTCACGGGGACCTCGACGCGCTGGCCGATCTTGAACGACATCTCGGTATCCGTCAGCCCGCACCGGACGCGGACGAGCGAGCGTCAGCCGCGCATTAACCCGCGACGCCGCGACTCCTCCCCGCGTCGATCCGCACGCGGCCTGGCGGGACGAGTGCCACGGGTCCTCGCGGATCCTGAATCCAAGCTCCGGCGAACAACACACCAGCTCCGGGACAGAACCGTCGGAACGTCTCGCGCGATGCGTCCGTCAGATGCCCACTGACAGTCGCCGCACCTGCTGCACCTGCCGCACTCGTCGCGCACTTCCGCGCGCGACGCAGCGTTTATTCCCTATACGCTAAATTGAATATCCGTTTTATTTGAAATGCAGAAAGCACGACGTCGTGTAGCCACAAGGAGCAAACTTTAGGCTGAAGAGTGGGCCGGACTCTCTTTCTAGTTTTGAAAAGAACGTGCAATGTTTGCTCCGACGCGTTTACACACGCGACGGACGGGCGCGTTCCATTTATCGACGCAAGTGTTGACACAAGTGTCACTTTACCCTCGTTCACCGGACGTCGAGGAAAGACAGACTGACGCTCGCGGCGTGGTTCCTTGAAGACGAAAGTATCCGAGATAGGGCCTGAAGAGAATCCTTAACAGCTATGTCTTTTAATTGACCCCCCAGTCCATAAGCTGCACCAGGCTGCACCACGTTCAGCTACACTCGGCCGCACTCTCTCTCTCTCTCTCTTCCGCGACCCTTTTCCCTCTTCGTCGTCCCCGTCGCTTCGAGAGCTAGGGAATTTCTTCTCGGTGTCGCAGTCCGGGAGGGGGAGCCGCGCAGAGCCGCCCGGAGGAAATTCTACTTGCTTGCCCGAGGAAAACGGCCGTTCGTTCGATTCCCCTCGTTCGGGACAGCCGTGCGGCGGAGCGTTGTTTCTCGGCCTCGCCGGCGAAGATCGAGATCCCGCGGCCCGCGGGGGAGCCGTAGGGAATTTGCGGTCGCGCGGCGCGCCGTGGCTGGCCGTGGCGCACTGTATACTCCGCTGACACGGGATTTGTTTTCGTCCGTGCGCTCAAAGTCGCCCTTTCCCCGGTTTATTACTCGCGCGTTCGCTCGCGCTCGGATAGCGGAGCGAGGCGGATCGAGGCGCGATCGTTGCGGGCTGCGGACGACGATGGCGAACCACTACGAGGTCCCGAACTGGTACGTCTCGGGGCTGGTCCTCCTCGGCCCGCGGGCCCGTCTATTGTTTACGCAATCGCGCCGTCCCCGGGCGGCCCGTCGCGGTGACGCGCGGCGTCGCTTTGCGCGCACGTTACGGCCGCCTCGCGATTTCAGGACTGTGACCGATCAGACGTTCGTCTGTTGTTAGCAGCTGCACGGTGAAATCGCTACTTTTGCACGCCCGCGTGTATCTGTTCCGCGCAAACGTTCCCCGTGCACCGACACTCGCCGCCGGTACTGAAACTCTACGGCCGGTGTTCATAGTCGGATCTTGTATTCAGGACTGCCTTAAGATCATTTTTCGACACTCCGTAGCCAACGAAGCGTTCCATTCAGCGTCCTTAGACAAATTCAAGACGGTCTTGAACGCAAGATCCGACTGTGAATGCCGGCCCGTAGTTTACATTGCGTTCGTGTCGGAACGCGGCCCGGTGAGAAGTGATTCGTCGACACGATGTCGATTCGACATCAATTTGACGTCGAACGACGAGTCGTTTCTCGCTGGCAGAACAGCGGCTCGACCGTGAATCCTTTTTCTCCAGCGTGAACTCGTGGGAAGTGAGAAAATTTCATCGGCGAGTTTAAGGTTTGCCAGTAACAGTTTTCACTTTTCGCGCTGGAGAAAAAGGATTCATGATTGAGCCCCAGGTCCTCGTACACGCGTTTAAGACACGACGCAGTATTGCGCGCTACCCGCACAAAGATTTTAAGCACAGAGACGTCTGGAAGACAACCAGAGGCTTGTTTTCCGTTGCCGCACTGCGAACCGGTCCATTCTGCCGAGGCCTCTAATAATGTCTTGTTTCAGGGCCGGCAAGCCACCGGTGGGGCTGCATCTGGACGTGCTGAAGAACGACAAGTTGATACAGGTAGAAGCGACACTCTCGTCGGCCCTTTGGGACTTAATTATCACTCGCATGTAGATTGCACAAGCGTGTTTCACGTCGAACGCTGCTTTACAGAAACTCATGGTGGACGAGAAGAAGTGCTACCTGTTCGGACGCAATCAGCAGCTCAACGACTTCTGTATCGATCATGCGTCCTGCTCTCGCGTTCATGCCGCTCTCGTTTATCATAAGCATCTCAATCGGGCGTTTCTGGTCGATCTGGGAAGCAGTAAGTATAGAGTCCGTACCGGCGCTACGGCGCAATCTTCTTTTTAACGAAATGCAAACGTTAGGGTTCACTTTTTAGTAGATTGCGAAGCCAGTGTTAAAGAAAGAGAGAGAGAGAGAGAGAGATGATATACAAAATAGCGTCCGATGTAAAACATGTTTGTGCAACTTGTGACAGCTTCATAGGAAGTTTAATACATTCTTTTATTGAATTATATGTTGCGTGTACTTTACACGTGATAAAGAGCGATGACTTTTCAGCACATGGAACCTTAATTGGAAATCTACGCTTGGAGGCTTACAAACCGACTCAGTTACCAATCGACAGTAAGTTTCACTTTGGAGCATCTACTCGGTATTACATAATAAGGGAAAGACCTCAGACGGGCGCCCGGCCCATCATCGAGGAGCTGGAGAAATTGTCCGAGGACATGGACGCTGGTGGCTTGCTGGGATTGCCAGAAACAGAAACAGAGCTGGACGTACGTAGCAGACACTTGTGTGATAATACATGTTAACATGCCAATTGAAACATTCAAACTGTTAACATTGCACTGAATGTGATTCAATTGATCGTTCCAGAATCTAACCGAGTTCAATACAGCTCACAATCGACGGATTTCCATGCTCGGCATAACAGACGACGAGATGCACAAGCCAACGCGTAAGCGAAAGAAAAAGGGGATCACCTTCAACGACGATGAGGAAGTGATCAATCCGGAAGACGTTGATCCGTCAGTTGGGAGATTTCGTAATCTTATACAAACGACAGTCGTTCCTAGTAAGGTACGCGCGGCGTTCGATCTAAGAGAGACGCGATCGCGATACAAAACTGCTTGGTTTAGCATTAAATTCATCACTAACTGCGATTATTAAGAGTGCGCCTATTTGTTGCAGAGAATGCGAATGGAGGGTGGTCTCATATCGTTGTCAGAAGATCACAATCTTCTGAAGCACATGCAACCTACGTCTACCACTCCGCAGCTCTATCACGATCTACCTCCCGAGCAGTTTACGCCGTCCTCGATGTCGATGAATCCGTTTTCCACGGCCCTCACGTCGCTGACGTCGCGGCTTGGCATCGCGCTACCCAACCCGGCGCCCGAGGTGGAGATGGCGCCGAATCAGATACAGGCGGAGGTGCAGCATGTGCAAGAGCACATGTCGGGTGCGACCGAGCCGCGAACGATGGAACCGAAGAAGAAGAAGTACGCCAAAGAGGCATGGCCCGGGAAAAAACCGATACCGACGCTTCTCGTATAATAGAAATTGTCGTTCATATTCACATAATATAGCCCTATTGTTTCCCGATAGAGCTGCCCCCTTCATCTAAGGATTGTTCATACATTACAGATTTACATACGATTTATATACGATGCCAGCTCTATCACGTGTTATTATATCGGCAGTAACTGTCAAATCTGTCTTGATAACGTTGAACCATGTAAGAGTATGATGAAAAGACTATCTGTACTAGTTAAAATATATTATTTAAGTAATGATAATTCAGATATAACGCAGGATGATCATGATTCGGAGTTTTATATAAAGCGGACATGTTTGAAGAGACTTTTCCACTCGAAGAATACAAAGGAACTGTTGTAATCTTCTGATGGAACAAACGCATTCAGAGTAGCTAAAATTAAAAATAATACTCCGCCAAAGCATCCTAAAATAATACAATTTTAAGTTCAAGAAAATGATGTCGGATACCACCTTACGTTTATCACGTTAAATTTTGTACCCGTTTACATTTAGTTTATTTCCGCTGCGATAACAAATATCGATAAAAATAAAATTATTGCTTATTTTATCAAATAGATTTTGGTCGCTAGACGTGTAAAATATATCTAGTTTTAACATTGTGATTTTTCATAGTTAATAACAACATTGCCGTAATTGTTACATAATATATTGCATTTCTTTAAACCTCGGCATAATTTCCTGTATGTACAATTGCTATTATCGCTCCAAGTGCAATGAATACGATGTAAATAAGTATAAAGGCAATTTTGTTGATATACTTTCATAAATATCAATGCCAGAAAAAGTCAATAAAAAAGAGAAATATTGTATATATTACACAAATAAGTATTACTTTGGGCCAGTAAAGTTTTCGATATAAAGAGTATGTTTAGAAGATTCGTCTCTTTATATATATATATATATATATATATTTATGTATTATATCTTGTTTCTATGCCAAATGAAACATTACTTGTGAAGTGATGCAACACTCGTATATTTTTATACTTGTTCTACAAGGAAGTTTTACAAAAAATACTCTTCTATAAAATACGGTGACAATTATATACGAGATTAAGCAAAATATATCTTTCTACACAAAATTTAAGCGCTGTGACACTTCTCTTGTAATTTTCGCCTCGTTGTCGGGCAGCGAAAGAAAGAAAGAAACACGCCGGCCTGTTCCAAAAGATTCTCCAAAAGAAAACGCGCGTGTTAATACTCGGATGTGTCCGGTGTGGACGGGGATTCGAGGGCGACTTCCTCGTAATCCCGCTCGAGTGCCGCGAGGTCCTCGCGCGCTTCCGAGAATTCAAGCTCCTCCATACCTTCGCCTATGTACCAGTGAATAAATGCCCGCTTGTTGTACATTAGATCGAACTTGCGATTGAGCTTGGCCCACGCTTCTTCTATAGCGGTCGTGTTAGATAGCATAGAGACAGCTCGTTGGACCTGCGAGCATATATGCAGTTGGTATGTCAATCTACGTATATGATTATTAATGTTAATATCACTTGACTGTTATGTTGAGTATAATGTATATGATGTACAATACGATTATATTGCGTAATATCGAGTACATAATAAACTGCTAATTATTACGTAAATGATTATTATATGACAAGGTTGTGGATTAAATTCTATACTATGTAATAAATATAATAATTATTACGTAAACAGTTATTATGCTAGAAAGTTGTAAATTAAAATTCTAATTGTATATTCGAGAATTTGTTAAACTTGAGCCCACTTTTGACACAATTTCTATCGGATTTCAAGATCGAATTGTATTTTTATAATTCTGTATATAACACACCATATATTACGTGCATATTTTGATACTAGAAAATATTCTGATTCTTCAACTATTTTTCGCACGTTAAGTCACAAAGGCGCATGACAAAACGAATTATATTCTGAATTCTGCTACAAGTTGTAAATCGTCCAAAGTGGGCTCAAAACTAAATGTAATGCATTAGTTTGATGCAAATTATAATTTTTACGAGAAGATTTACGATTATCGACGATACCTTGGCGAGATCACCGCCCGGCACGGCCGTAGGCGGCTGATAATTGATCCCGACTTTGAAACCCGTGGGACACCAGTCGACGAAGCGAATGTAGCTCTTGCCCTTCATAGCGGCGATCGCGGCATTGACGTCCTTGGGCACGACGTCGCCGCGGTACAGGAGGCAGCAGGCCATGTACTTGCCGTTGCGCGGGTCGCACTTGACCATCTGATTCGTGGCCTCGAAGCACTCGGAGGTGATCTCCGCGACCGATATGCCCTCGTGGTAGGCCTTCTCCGAGGACACCACCGGGGCGTAGGTCGCCAGGGGGAAGTGTATGCGCGGGTAGGGCACCAGATTTGTCTGGAACTCGGTCAGGTCGACGTTCAGGGCGCCGTCGAATCTCAAGGACGCGGTGATCGACGACACCACTTGGCTGATCAGCCGGTTCAGGTTCGCGTACAAGGGTCGCTCGATGCCGAGCTTGCGCCGGCAAATGTCGTAGATCGCCTCGTTGTCCACCATGAAAGCGCAATCGGAGTGACTGATCGTCGTGTGTGTTGTTAACACCGCATTGTATGGCTCCACCACGGCAGTAGATACCTGAAAGTAAGTAAGCGCGAATTTTTTTTGTTTTAATAAAAATTATTGGGTCCAAGTTTGTGCTAAATTTTTAATTATTTAGGGAGAGCTCGTGGACCTTTTACATCCAGAAAGTGGCTTTAAAATTGGTTTTACCTTATTTTTATCGTTATTAATCTTAATCGTTACTGTAAACGTCCAAGGGCTTGAGAAAAAATTATGTTTGTTTTAATTCCGCCATCTTTTGTAAGACGAGAGTGCGAGAACTAATTAAGATCTTGTTTATTTTAGGAATACGCAAACTGAACTATGTAACTCTCCCGAACTCACTTGCGGCGCCGGATATATGACAAATTCCAATTTGCTCTTCCTGTGGTAATCGTCGGACAGCTTCTCCATAAGCAGAGACGTGAAACCTGATCCTGTGCCACCCCCGAACGAGTGGAAGACGAAGAAGCCTTGCAGGCCGGTGCACTGATCGGACAGTCTGCGCACTCGGTCCATCACGGACTCGATGATCTCGTTTCCGACGGAATAATGACCGCGAGCATAATTATTGGCGGCGTCCTCCTTGCCGGTGATCAACTGCTCAGGATGATACAATGCTTTGTACGTTCCCGTCCGAATCTCATCTGCGGGAATAGCAATTTTTTTAATTGTAAAGATGCACTTTTTATGCCAAGATTATTACAAAATTTATATCATTATCATATAAATAATTTTTTCTGTGGTGATTAGTTATAGCATGACTGACCGACGACGGTCGGCTCGAGATCGATCATCACGGCGCGCGGTACCATCTTGCCGGAGCCCGTCTCGTTGAAGAAGGTGTTGAAGCAATCGTTGGAACCGGATGCCTTGTCGGACGGCATGGTACCATCCGGCTGGATGCCGTGTTCCAGACAATACAACTCCCAGCAGGAGTTGCCCATCTGGACGCCCGCTTGGCCCACGTGTATCGATATACACTCGCGCTGTAAACCACATAACTTTAATGTCGCGAAATCTTAACGGCGTATTCCATAGAATATCGGATCTTTTTCAAAGCCGAAAATTGCCCCGAGAAAACGTGATTTTACTTTCTCATACCATTGTGATGTCTTCAATTTAGCTTCTCTTGATGTTACACAATGAAAATTTGGATAAATCGTCAAACCGAAATTTTAATTAAATCTTTAATTTTAAACACGATAAATTTGGAGGCCGGCCATGGGAGACTTAGAAAAAAACACTGGCAATTTATATTTTTGTTGCTCTGGTAACCGTTAAAATTGAACTTCACGGGAATAGAATTTCTTCAACATGAAGGCTGCATTCCGATATTCACTGTCACTTTCACTGCGGTTACGTTCACTATACATAGGTAGATCAGTATTGATAATGAATATCGGAACGTAACCGAAAAAATGTAAGTCAATAGGGTCGAATATGAGCTTTGTTTGTGTTTTACTTTCAAATTAAAACATTGACTGACATGTCATCATATGTTGGTAACATGGTATTGTTATATGAAGGTCCTTAGCAGTCAATACGTTAACTATAGTTTAATGAGAAGATAATTTTAAATAAATTTTGCGTAATGTTACTGATACTCAAATTATAAAATATTGCAAATTGATTCGCTTGAATTCAAATACTTTTGAAATATTTGGTGTACCTATATGAGCACGTATTATATGCACAGCGTAATGTAATTATATTAAAATTAATATACTATATAATGTTAATACATACGATCGGAAAATGCACATAAGTTTCATTTATAACATTTTCTTTCTCTTGTATAATCTCTGTTTATATTCGATATACATATAGATATTAAATTTGCATTTTTCCACTTTACGATGTTGTAAAGTGGAAAAAGCAACATTTGTTTTGTATCTTGACGTTTCAAATATTGTTGAAGTTAACTGCAACAGACGTTGTTGAATTTCGAGACATTTTGCAAAAATGCCTTGGATAGACGAGGAATAATTGAAGAAAACGAACTGTGTAGGCTGCATGTATATGTGCATATTCTGATGTACATACACTTAGATATACTCTTATTGCCATGCGTCAGACGTATCCGTGGCAACTAAGAACGCGTGGTGCAACACTTGCCATTTCCATTAAAAGTGACAATAGCTAATACCAGCTACAAAATAGATAAAATGTCGAGCAAATCGTGAACAAAGCTATCTTTTCGAAGCGATTACGATCGGAACGTAATCCCGACCGCATAATCTGTACAATCGTCTAGAAACTGCTTTTCTACGATCAGTGTACATTTATAGTTTTTACAATCAACTGATGTATAATTAGTGAACTGATATATAATTTTCACTGCCCAGTGTGATATCGCAAAAGTGATGTGTAATCCAACAATTCGTCGAGAACTCTCAGTCGCACAGAAATAAAATCGCGCGTTTAGAAAAAGATACACTATTAGAATAAATATTGAAATATATTCTTAAACTTTGAATAACATTTTTAAATAAATATGAAAAATGCAGTCGTAAAAAGGATAAATATCCTAAGAATGACGAAAGAAAATCCTTTCGAACGCTAATCAAGAATAAACTTAATCGAAGGATATCATAGCGCTATTGGCGCGTCGACGCATGGATACTAATTACAGAGCGAACATCGCAAAGTGGCTGCCGCTTTCTGACGGTGCTCTCGACAAATGGCTCGTGGACTCTTCGCTTTTGGACGAGAGAATGGGAAAGCTTGCGGGATGTATAGCTTTAATCATCGAGGACTCCGCGGAGGCTCGGACATGCGATCAAGAGGTACGAATATAAATTTACAGTGAAAAAACACATTTTTTGTCGTCAGTAAATGTATAAAATGAAATTAAAACTATGCGGACAATTAATTGTGTTGGGTTTTTCACAGGTGTTTGAAGAAGTGATCGATAGTCTGGAGGAATTAATAGAGAGCTACAAATTGACGTGCAATCCGGGGGAATTAAGCAGTCACCTGATATACAAGTATAAGATAAATCACTTGTCGATGGTGTTGAAGCGCAAATTAAATGTGATCGCCAAGTTCACCCAAGATTTGATTAGTGACATTGTCGATTGCAAAAATGACGAGAACATAAGAATAGTATTCAGGTGAAAGTCAAGCAGAAACTCAATTCCTTCTACAGCGTACATTGTATTACCTTAGTTTGTTGAGATTTTATCATCTTAATTAGCTCGTTCTTTAATACCAAAGAATTAATTTCTTTTCATAGAATGTTTTGAGATATATTTAAAGTTTCTCAATATTGTCGGATAACAATAATACAACGGGCAAATTGCAGATTGGTAAATGCTTACAACAAAATCCTCGACATGAATCGGGACGTGTCGGATCCGTCTGTCAATGTCTTTTACAACGATTGCCCATCCATGTTGGAGCCTCTAAAGAAAATCTCCGTGACCAAAATATTGCAAGTGAGTTCATTGTTCTTCGCCGCAGCTTTCGACGCTCTAGAACTGATATTCTTCTTTAACGAATACGATAAGATTGAACGCCCTTTAACAGCACATTTCGTAACGTTGTAACATGAATAATTTTAGATATTGGCGAAGAACAGGGCGGAGGAATCCTGTCACGAGCTTATCGACTGTCTTCTGGCGAATTATGAGCCCCGCGAGAAAACCCAGCCTGCGTCTTCAACAAACGATGTGGATGTTTCGGAAAGTTCTAGCGTCGAAATCTATCGGTTGGTTTGCGATCGCAATTGCACCCCCGGTATTATTATCGTTTCAAAGAATCTTACGTGCAATGCATATGTAAACTTTAATACATATTTTTTAAATTATGTCCAACTGTCATCGGGACAACACAATTGCAATCTAATCAAATGTATCTTCAGTATATTTATTGTCTGAAACTTCAGCGCTCTTACGAGGCATTTGACGCCACCGATCACGAGTGCGACATCGACGTCCGAAGTGGAAGCATCCAATATCGAAAGTGTGCAGACACTTGTGAACACGCAAAACGAGCAGATTCTTAGACTCTTAAATGTCGTGCAGGACATATCGCCGCAATTACTTGGCGCGGACGCCTTAAAGACCAACAAAGGTACACAGTTCGTTAGACTGTTGGGTCTATTCTGTAAAAAAGATTTTCGTCTTGTAAAGTATTTAACTCTTTAGCTCTTTCTTTCTCGTTCCGCAATACTACCTAGTTTATATAGAGATACAGCGTTACAGGGTATTTTTACAGAATAGATCTATACTTCTAGCGTCGAATTATAGAATATAACAGTTGAAGCGACGTAAAATCTTGTTAGGTGAGACGAGATTGAGAGGCAGCGCGATAAAGAAGGTAAAGAATTACTATCAGGAGGTAGCATGGGGCGCATTGTCCAGTATTTTGGATCATGTTATACTGTGGTGGTCGCGGGAGGCTCTCGCGACTCATCACAGCCACGGCGCTCAGCATCTCAAGGATTGGCTGCGGCAGTTCATTCAGGGGAACGATAGTAAGAATGTCTTTTCTTCACGTAAAAAACACTTCTCGTTTTTAACGAGTGTCATTAAAATTTCAGCTCCGCCTACAGTCAGATCAGCGCTGCAAAATTTGTGCGACGCGCTCGGGTATCATACGACCGTCACTGCTTGGGACCAGACGTTTAGATTAGCCTACACCTCGGCCTTCGAGTGCCGTTCGAAACCGTCGTCCACGGAGGTCGGTACTCCGCAGAGAAAAACCTCCAATCTAGAATCTCGAGAGACTGTCTGTTTGATAAAAAGCGCTAACGAACGCGGAATTCACGGCAGGAAGTCCTGCAGTAGAAAGAGAAAAGAAATAATAAGTTTCCTACACGGAGAGAATTTTCTTTTAAAATTTACCCTGAAAATTATGTAATCGTGGGACAGCGTGGCATTTTGAAGAACTTTACATCCATTTTACAGGTAAAATGTATGTAAAATTGTAAAAAAACTCACAAAATTCTTCGAAATGCCATGTTGTCTCACAGTTATAATTTTCAGGATAAAATTTAAAAAGAAAATTCTTTCTGTGTTCGCATAAGTGCCGGCTAATGATTGCTATTGTTTTTGTAGGGAACCGACACCGGTCAAATGTTCGTCGAGCTGTTCCAGCTGCTGGTCACGCTCAGCAACGAGTGCGAGGTGGGCGGCGAGTGGGTGATAGGAGCACCCTTGGTAGAACTGCCATTGTCGGAGCAGATCGTCGTGTTGCACAGGATGGACCATTCGGTGCACACGGCGAGATTGTGGGCCATTCAGGAGGCCAAGATTATAGCCCACACTTGGGACCTGGATGTGTTCTTCCTTCTTGTCAAGGGTGACGTGGTGAACTGTCTTGAAGAGCTGTCTTATCTCAAGGTGCTAGTCTTTTTTTACTTCTGTTCTGTATAAAGAAAACGCGCTAAATTTCGTCCTCATTGATTGATTCTAGCTCGCTGATCACACGATCGCGTTGTCCATGAATTCTATCAGCGTGCAGGTGTACGTGTGCACGAAGATGAGAGCGAAGATCGTTTCCGAGGTCAAGGCGAACGTTGAATTGCTTCAGGTGTGTTAGACGAATTTCGATATCGGATAAATGGATGTAAAGAATCGTTCTCCAAGGCTCTAATGCGAATTAATAATTTCTCATTTGTATCAATATCTTTCTTGCATAAATAATGTCCCAATGGTTTATCTTATGCGTGTGATCGAGATAGTAAAGTTTTATTAAAGTAAATTTAATACCATCGAAAAATCGGGAAATAATTCTTTCGCAAATATAACAATTTTTAACTCGCGAATCTGTTGCTTATAAAATTGCAGGTGATTTTATGTTTCTTTACTTCTGCAGATCTGCCCTGCTAACTGCAATGCCACGCTTGCCAAGATCTGCCGTGTGATCAGTCTCGCGAATTTGCATATGTGCTTTCCACAGCC